ACCTTCCACAACATACTAGTTTGACAGGGTTTATACACCGGAGCATTATTTTCAGCAAATTAATTTCACCTAATATAGAAGCATGTACTTTGGAAAAACAAATATGTATTAAAACTAGCTTAAATAACGGTCTAGACGAAGTCATGCAGTTTCGTAACACGTTGACCTCAAAATACATAAACCTTCTACAGTAAATATCGTTTCAATAAATTATCAGGCCAAATGCATGGTTACTCATCTAATTCTGCCTTTATCACTTTCAAAGGGTTGTTTTATTGGTGCTATATACGTTCCCTGACTGTGTGATTTCCCTTGTACTAGCTAGGATAACGCTGCCAGGACATGGACCCGTCACCTCGCGTCACCCTTGTTGTCTGACAAAGGTAAACAAACCCATATTTACTGTCCTGCAATAAAGTCCCACTATACACGGGTTTAACAAGCAATTCTGTCCAGTGGTAAATCAAAACTCCGAGAGTCATCCCTGGATAAGGAGGGTTTTATAACGTTTGCTCACCACCGCGGTTCCAAGTTTTATATCACCGATTACACGCCTCTGTGTAAGTAAATGAATGCTTGAGCAATAATCCAAGCTTTGGTGGAGTCTTTGGCGGGGTTATAATCTGGCCTTTAAAAGATCTGGGGGGTTAATCGGTGCGATATAGTATTATCTGTGAACTGTAATTAGCCGTGCGGATTAGCACTAGTTTACCAGCATATCCATAATAGCCAGCTCAGGGCTACAACTTAAAATCGATTTTGTATGAATTTGTTTTTACATGATCAAACACAATTTAAATGCCTTGTTGTATTTCGATTGCATATAATAACAACTATGTCCATAGTTTTATGTGGGTTTTTTTCTGTCAGTTTTCCTCTTCTTCTGTCCCAATATACATATTTCATTATTGATGATATTGATTACAACGTGTAATTACATTTACATATACATGTACATTAAAATGGGTGTGGTTCCCAAATCGTGTTTCCGATCATCTACGTGAATATTTGTCCAGTCTAACATCATGAGAGGTTACAAATTTTATGTCGCGTATTTACACTCCGTAATAACTGTTTAAACATGTTCTACAAAGCAAATTCGTTTAAGAATCACGACCGATTCATGTTAAAGCTGACTGTCATATAGTACATTGTGATGTTAGGGTCCCGTAACAGTTTTAATATCGGAAGTAGGCTTTCATCTTCAGTAATGATTGTCGAACTAAACATCGTCACATAGAATGATTTATGTATACAATAAAAATGCCCAGGTGTTTTCCTGTTTACGGGGGGTGACCATTGTTATGTTATTATTAGCTTAAACAAAGGAGGTTTAATGTGTTAAATTGTTATATAATCGGTAATACGTGTGTTCTGTTGTCTCCCCATATGTCAATCGTTATGGTTCAGACATCAATTATGGATTTCCTTATAATGGAAATAAAATCAGTCCCGAGGGCTAGAGATTGTCGCTCATGATCAATTGTTTATTTAAGGAACTAGCGCCGTGACGTTACATCAAGCAATACGACGACTGCTACACATTTTTTAAAGTACTGACGTTGTCAATAAAACCAATAGATTATAGGTCGAATCTTAGAGCGATAGGAGCAACAAAGACTTGTTAAGAGTGGCCAGTTACGTTGTTCTATAACGTTACCATCTGTCATCATAGCATGCTTAACAACGCCATGCACGTGCTTAGTTCTTAAATGGCACCTCTGTATTACATTTGGTGTGACGTGTAAGGAATCGAGTCTATAACAGCCGTAGGTATATGTTAGAAGCCTATAACAGCCGTAGGTAGATGTTAGAAGCCTATAACAGCCGTAGGTAGATGTTAGAACAGAGGTAAGCTCGTAGCCTTTATTCAATTTAAAGGTTAACCAGCTCGAGTTAGATTAATATGACAGCCAACGGTCAGTCGTTGTAGAACCTCCTCTATATACGACATATCAACAGCTATATAGATAATTTGTTGTTAGAACGTTACTCTAAGGGTCAATGTTCTTAAATTGTACATATGGTGGAGCCTTGGAATAAACGTGAAGTGAACGTAACCCCTTCCAATTTCAAGGCTGACATATGGGGATGAATATTTCGCTTGTTGTCCAACACGTCTGTACTAACTTCCGTTGCTAGTTTATTTGGTCGCTTTTTATCTGACTCTTCCGGTACTAGTTTCAGGATAAAATCTACGGATCGTTGATTTACAATGTCGCTTTGAAATGAAAACAGTCGTTTACCTTACAACACTACCGTTTCTCGTATTTACCCTATACACTTTCTCGTGTAGCGATGGTTAGATTCCAACTGACAGACCAGTTTATGAAGAGCTGACAACTTGTTATACGTACATATACTGCCAAGTAGAATAGGGCCTGTATTCTGTGGCAAGCGAAGCAGAACAGGGATTACCTTATTCATACAAAACCAAATTTTATTTTCAGTTGAGAAAATACGCTAATATTGACATTGGACAGTTCTTTCTGTAGGAAAATTTGTCGCACGCAGTTGGATAGAGGCGTATACCCAACTGTAAGGAGGTCACAACCCCAGCTGGTCTAGCGAGACTCCAGCTACATGTTAAAGCTAACAGTGTGACGCCATTATTACATAACTATATTAGCTTTTCTCCTGTCTTGGGACGGTCTGAATGGCCAGGTGTGCTCTATAGACTAATTCCTCTCCCACAGTGCGTCTCTGTAGCGTGCTGCACGGCTACCACTATATACCGTATGCTATAGCTTAGTGTTAAAACCGTAGTACCGCCATAGGGTGCCCCCTTAGTAGTTGTTCACTTACAAATCTTTTGAAATAGTTCAATGGCGTTAATGACTGGCTGATAATATGAGCAGTACACACAAGTACGCCATACTCACATTCTCAGATAGAGTTAGATATCAATTCAATCTATGTTATTACCAAATGCATATAGGCGTACAGAAATATAAATATGGAACAATACTTCACAAATATCTTGTACAATGGCGGAGAACATATGCAACAGTTTTAATTCCATACATAACATATGTCACTGTTGATCTGTTATCCCCATTACAACACTTTAATGCCTCTACCTACTCTTTCCTTTTGACGTTGTTTCTCTATAGGAGCCACTGGTCAGCCCGTTACCTTCTCTTTCCTTTTGACGTTGTTTCTCTATAGGAACCACTGGTTAGCCCGTTACATACTTTTTCCTTTTGACGTTGTTTCTCTATAGGAACCACTGGTTAGCCCGTTACCTACTCTTTCCTTTTGACGTTGTTTCTCTATAGGAGCCACTGGTCAGCCCGTTACCTTCTCTTTCCTTTTGACGTCGTCTCTATAGGAACCACTGGTCAGCCCGTTACCTACTCTTTCCTTTTGACGTCGTCTCTATAGGAACCACTGGTCAGCCCGTTACCTTCTCTTTCCTTTTGACGTTGTTTCTCTATAGGAACCACTGGTCAGCCCGGTACCTACTCTTTCCTTTTGACGTTATTTCTCTATAGGAACCACTGGTCAGCCCTTTACATACTCTCTACTTTTGACGTCGTCTCTCTATAGGAACCACTGGTCAGCCCGTCGTCAGAATATAGTGACCGGGTAGAGTGTCATATACTACCATTTCTAGGTTATGGCATTCCAGTGAGAAGGCATTATAAAGTTGACTTGAACCGGTCCCATCGTCCTTGGTCACCGTCTGCATATGACCTTTAAAAGATGTTGCGAGGATGCAAAACGCAGAAGAGACTAGATGAACACGAGAGCCCTTCGTGACTAGTCTAAAACGTTTTGGTCGGGTATACTTGCGTATTCATTAGTATATTATATTGTACACTACAGCATTGTACGATGTTTTAACTCCTGATTCTTATACATATATCATATTAACAGAAGATAAACCACGGTAACATTCATTGGTGTGTAAAACTTGGCCTCCAACAGCTTTATCAATACAGTGCATGAAAGCGTACCGTTGGGAGAGAAAGTTACTGGTAAGACTGGAAGGTTTCCTGCACTCACACCGAACCAGCCCTGTCTGGAACTCATCAATTATTGACCAATGGTTGCACGGTAACGTCCACGTTGTGTTGTGCCCTGTGTAGACCATTGTATTGGTTCTCAGACATGAGAACGGAAAGTTGGTGTTTTAGTACGTGGCCTAGGGGAACTACATGTACCACACATCGATCTCAGGTATGTGTTAGTCGCACATCACCTGGGGTAGCTGAAAGTACACATTTCGATTCCTTAGAATATAAAACGTCACAAGCCTTTTCTTTTTCAGTTTTTCTTTATATATAAAAGTAAAGGCTCATTTAATTTGGATTCCTTCCATTAAAAATCTGCCTAACTAATTAGTTGACACGGTGTTCAGATATGATTCAATAGTACAGTTCAATCCCTGTATCAACTTTCACCATTCAATCCTGATAAATTCTGTTTAAAGCAGATGATCGGTTTCTAAAGGTGCTATATTGCAATACACTGTTACAGCATTAAAGAGATTCGACCTATGTTTGTACACTATATAAAGGTTCTTGGACAGGGATTATGTTGATTAACCTCACAAACACTTGCGGATCGAACACCTGTGGCATCAGAATTTCAATTTAGTTTGGTCGCCATGTTTACTTAATAGTGTGCATGATATTTCAGCTTTGAATAGTTAGATGCACATTTCAAAATAGTAAATTTAGTAAAACGTTTACCAAATAATCAAATTTGAGTATTTCTATATCAGTAATTTACTAAACGACCTCCACACAGATCGGAACATGAATACTGTCAGAAATAGCATAGATAAGTACTCGGGAACTGACATCGCACCAATTCACCGCAGTGTTTTTTTCTGATGCATACCACGATGAACAGCTGATTCATTTTAGAAGGTATGCAACTATAATTATACATATATTGACTTCGGTTTGATAATTTCTAGATGACTACCCAGTCAACCATGCCCCTTAACCAAATACTTTTCAAATCGACTGAGTGCCTTAATATATACGTACCTGGTTCGACAGCATAAGTCCAATATGGAAGGGAAAGTACACAGAATGTAGAAGCCAATCCTATTTGTTTACAGTTTACATACTGAGGAACAGTTATATAACGTGATTTCACTGTCCAAGGAAGAGGGGCGCCTAAACAACACGTCGGTCACTTGATGTCCAGGGTGACCTTTTCTGGTCAGCACTAATGACCAGTGTCCTGGGCATGGCAGTACTTACGACGTACTGTGTTGTTTGGTATTTACCTGTACGTATATTCCATTGGCGCGACTTGGAACTTTGCCTGTCGATCGTGTCTGGACATAGGTAATGTGTACTGCTACCTACACAGGTAAATACAGGTATATCTAACACTGCTGATTCATAACTACCCGTCGTTAGTCAGCACACATACACGTCAAATACCTCATAACACCGGCTAATTGAGAACAATGCTGTCGTAGATGTGTTACTACAATGAGGATATCGAACGTCTCCCCTGCTTCAATAGGGTATGGAAGCCGCTGTCACTTTACCAGTACACACCCTACAAGTGACGGATAATATTACTCTTAGTATACTAGATACGGGTAACATACCAAGTGTTAAAGTCATTGTCATACCGTATTTAAAGCTGAGTGTGTAGTGTTTGAGGTACCCGACTAATTCGACCGTCTGAAACAGGGACGTAAACGCTTCCTTCTGATATCAGTAGTTAGGATATTATATATACTGTTTCAGAATGTATGACCACGGGTGAGACTCCTGCCATACACTATTGCCATATATAATGTCTGGATATCAAAGATTATATCAGTCGTGTTGTCGTCGGATTCAAATTACTATCATTTCAGGCAAATAAACATATAAAACATTAGTCCGAACTATTCTGACGTTTTATCGACTTTTTCACATCGGTCTGTCGTCGGTTAATCGACGACAGACCGATATGAAAAAAGTTGATAAAACGTCAGAATAATTCGGACTTATAAAACATATACACTAAACAGGTTTGCCAGTCGAAATAAAGCTTTACAGAACCAGTGTCTCACGAACAATTTAAAATAGACACGATTTTATTTATCGCTTACTGCATTGTATATACCGTGAAAATATTGGTTTACTCCCTAATACCGGTAATCGATACATTTGGTGTTTTTGCAGGTCTGTGAAATGGACATCTAGTTATTGAAATACTCTCTAGGCTGGTGAAGGCGCCACAAGATATCCTAATGGGATTTTAAGTATGTTAGTCCCTTTGTTATTTTGTCATAAGGTACCGGCTTTCAGGTCTGGTTTTTCGTATGTTGATATCAATAGTAAGAAATGTTGCAAAGTTGATCTTAAATAAACATGTGCTTTCCATCGAATAAAATGAAAACAACGGCTAGACTTGAACATTTTGTATTGTTTATCAATGCATACAACTTTATAACAGGAACAGACAGTATCTTAAAGAATCATGTCCGTGTACCTAACAGGGACAGACAATATCTACCGGGAACATGTCCGTGTACCTTACAGGGACAGACAGTATCTCCCGGGAACATATCCGTGTACCTTACAGAGACATACAATATCTACCGGGAACATGTCCGTGTACCTAACAGGGACAGACAATATCTTCCGGCAACATATCCGTGTACATTACAGGGACAGACAATATCTACCGGCAACATGCCCGTGTACCTTACAGGGACAGACAATATCTCCCGGCAACATATCCGTGTACATTACAGGGACAGACAATATCTACCAGGAACATATCAGTGTACATTACAGGGACAGACAATATCTACCGGGAACATGCCCGTGGACCTTACAGGGACAGACAATATCTACCGGCAACATATCCGTGTACATAACAGGGACAGACAATATCTACCGGGAACATGTCCGTGTACCTTACAGGGACAGACGATATCTACTGGGAACATGCCCGTGTACCTTACAGGGACAGACGATATCTAACGGAAAGATGTCCGTGTACATTACAGGGACAGACAACATATCCCGGGAACATGTCCGTATACCTCACAGGGACAGACAGTATCTCCCGGGAGCATATTAGTGTACCTTACAGGGTAAGACAGTTTATCCTGGGAACATGTCCGTGTACATTACAGGGACAGACAATATCTACCGGCAACATGTCCGTGTACCTTACAGGGACAGACGATATCTACCGGGAACATGCCCGTGTACCTTACAGGGACAGACAATATCTACCGGCAACATATCCGTGTACATAACAGGGACAGACAGTATCTCCCGGAAGCATATTAGTGTACCTTACAGGGACAGACAATATCTACCGGGAACATGTCCGTGTACATAAAAGGGACAGACAGTGTCTCCCGGAAGCATATTAGTGTACCCTACAGGGTAAGACAGTTTATCATGGGAACATGTCCGTGTACATTACAGGGACAGACAATATATACCGGCAACATATCAGTGTACATTACAGGGACAGACAATATCTACCGGGAACATGTCCGTGTACATTACAGGGACAGACAGTATCTCCCGGGAACATATTAGTGTACCTTACAGGGTAAGACAGTTTATCCTGGGAACATGTCCGTGTACATTTCAGGGACAGACAATATCTACCGGCAACATATCAGTGTACATTACAGGGACAGACAATATCTACCGGCAACATATCAGTGTACATTACAGGGACAGACAACATATCCCGGGAACATATCCGTGTACCTTACAGGGACAGACAATATCTACCGGGAGCATGACCGTGTACTTTACAGGGACAGACAACATCTACCTTGACCATGTCCGTATACCTTTCAGGGACGGACAGTATCTCCCGGGAACATGTCCGTGTATCTTACATGGACAGACGACGTCTCCCGTGAAAACGTCCATGTACCTTACAGGGACAGACAGTATATCCCGGGAACATGTCCGTGTACCTAACAGGGACAGACAGTGTCTCCCGGGAACATGTCCCTGTACCTAACAGGGACAGACAGTGTCTCCCGGGAACATGTCCGTGTACCTTACAGGGACAGACAGTGTCTCCCGGGAACATGTCCATGTACCTTACAGGGACAGACAGTATATCCCGGGAACATGTCCGTGTACCTAACAGGGACAGACATGCCTCCCGGGAACATGTCCCTGTACCTAACAGGGACAGACAGTGTCTCCCGGGAACATGTCCGTGTACCTTACAGGGACAGACAGGATATCCCGGGAACATGTCAGAATACCTTACAGGGACAGACGACGTCTCCCGTGAAAATGTCCATGTACCTTACATGGACAGACAGTATCTCCCGGGAACATATCCTTGTACTTTAAAGGTACAGACAGTATCTCCCGGGAACATGTCCGTGTACTTTAAAGGGACAGACAGTATCTCCCGGGAACATGTCCGTGTACCTGACAGGGACAAACAGTATCTCCCGGGAACATGTCCCTGTACCCAATTTTGTTTTTTTTAAAGGGAAACTAATATAATGCTTCTAATGTTTTAACACGATTTACTTCTTCTGGAAGAGGAAGAGGGTATTCTAACGACGCGATTAGGAGCTCTTCCTCTTCCGGAAGCTCTTCTGAGTCTTCCGCGCCAAAGTTGGAAGAGACCCTATTCCAAGATGGAGGACACCGTTTTGAAGTGCGCAGATTGTGGTATCTGTACGTACACATTGGCAGCTTTTGAAGAGCACGCATGTACCGGTAGGTTTTATTAATTGATAACAAGTAATTTTATGAGTTGTTGTCACAAAAAATCGTTTATGCGAGTAAACGGTGAAGATAAATAAGATAAATAAGTTGTGATACGAAGCACGTGATGATAACACGGCATTCAATTCATGTTTCAGGGGATGGATTGAATGTATTATGTAAACAAACAAGATTTTATAAAAAAAATAATTAAAAAAATCACGAACTAGGAAAGACAACAAAACAGATATATCTACATGACGGTGCCGATAGTCATTTTACACACAACGGGCACGGTCAACGTGCGGTTAGCCTATACACAAACACTAACAAAACGTTCAGAGGGCCCGTATCGTTGGCTGACTTAAATGTATGCCTCCAACATAATTTGCGACTTTGTTACATTTTCTTCCAACCCCCAAATTTGTTACCAAAATGGTGAAAAGCTGTCAGAAAATACCTACTTTTAGCTCAAAAAAAAGTATTTTTTATATGTTCCAGACCTTTTGATAATAATAGTAGTAGTATTCAGGGATTCACAGGGATCTGTTCATTTAGAGGCATACAGTACTTAAAAAAACCCAGTAATTCTTCTTAGATTTTTTATGTCAAAATTGCATGTGCAAAATAACAGCTAATACTAGTAATAGTAATATTGTAATATTTATTTGTTTTATTATATTTTCAGGTAGCAAGAGCAGTACGACAGGTACCAACGTTGCTACACCAAGTACTAGTAGTACAACTATTTGGTCCAAAGAAAAGACTATGGTTCTCCTAGATCTATACAGAGAAAGAGTACAGCATTTCAACAATCCATGTATGCGAAATAAACGAGTATGGGAGGAAATAACGCAAGAATTAAACAAAGCACTGAATTTGTCCTTTAAATTTACCCCCGCCCAAGTAGAAGGCCGCTGGAAAACGGTTTTGTCGGCGTATAGGAGACATAAGGACCATCAAAGGAAAACAGGTGCAGAACTAAAACAATACGAGTACGAAGAGGAGATAGATTCAATACTTGGGGGAAGTCATGCCGTCACCCCAAAATATCTAGTATCCAGTCAGAATAGTTCAACTTCATCGTCATCTTCAATTCCTTCGGCTTCATCATCATCTTCAATTCCTTCGGCTTCATCGTCATCCTCATCAGCTTGTCAGAGTAATGACAAAAATGATTCAGACAGCAGCAGTGAAGTTGAATGTACCTCAAAAGGTAAAAAGAGGAAAATTGATAAGAAAAAAACAGGTACATCAGGGGTGTCTGCAATGATCAGTTTCCTTGAAAGTTACACAGAGAGCACCGAGAGGAGAAACGAGGAGGCAGCAAAGAAAGCAGATGAAAACATGAGCGGCATATGGAGATCCTGAAAGGATTAACTGCAGTAATGACCCAACTCGTCCCCCCAAAAAAATAAATCAGAATTTGGTACGAACCTTTAAAAAATTAATTTGTATAATATTGAATCATGCTGTAAATAACCTCATTATTTCATTTATCACATAACTGGGATGGAAGTTAAATGCTGTGAAAATTGGGACCCTGACCCCCCAGGGAGCTGAAGGGCAGGGCCTAAAAAGGGGAAAATGTTACAATATTTAAAAAAAAAATCTTCTGCTGAACCAGAAACCCTGCAATCAAATACTCTTTATAGATGGAAATTAAGGTCTAAAGATGCTCTATCAAAATTATACATTTTATTACTGCCGGGTCACCCATTCTCCCCTGGGGAGGGGGTAATATTTACTTTAGTTTATATAGGGAAATAACACTTTGCAGTGTATTTTCAATCATGTTGTTTACGGTTTTGTAGGAAAACATTTCAACTTATCATAGGATGCAAATTGGATGGTATGAACATTGGTACCCTTACTTTTATG